TGGGCAACCAGTGAGACATAGCCTGCTTGGTTACCCAGGGTGCTCTATAATAGGGGCATTTGAAGGGGTAGGTTGTGTGTGTGTGTGTGTGTGTGTGTGTGTATATGCACGTAGGTACTGGAAGTCTGTGCTAGATGTCCAGGGATGGAGGAAGGAGTTGCAAAGGACCATCCAGAACAGAGATGCATTCACTCTGTGCCAAGGGTGAAAGAGAGGGAACCAGAGGAAACTCAACCAGCAAAACTGCCCCTCAACAGAAAATAGTTCCCCTTAACCATTTGCTAGGACACAGCGAGCAAAGGCACTCAGCCCTCCCCATCTTTTCAGGGAACTATGAGCTGTAGGAGACATTACAGGGGGCACAAATGAAGAAGGCCCTATGTGGACAGCTGTGGTGGTGAGCTGAGGGTGAGTGGAGCAAAAATCTTCCTCTCCCATTGCAAGTCCCAGACAGACTGAAGCTAATGGGGAGATTATTCATTGTAAATCAGGTTCAGAGTTTTAATATATTACGTGAGATAAGCAGTTCTCATTTCTGAGCTAAGACCAGAGACTAAGGCCAAAGTGCTCATCCAGGGCAGAGGTAGACTACCCACGTGAACAAGATTAAAGGGCCAGTGAGAGACAGAAAGGAAGTTTCATTTGGATCACCATTCATGAGCTGGAGTAAGAATTCCTCGAAAGAGAAATGGTTTTCTCCACACTCATAGAGCTCATAGAGGACTGGAGGTAGCAATTATTTCCTCTTCCCAAAGGCAAATACACTGTTTATACTTATGTGAGCACAGCCATTTCTAGCTATCAGCATGCTCACCATAGCAGCTATGAAGTTGCCCCTGGGCTCTCCCTTCAAGAGAAAAATTTCCCTTCACCTCAAGGACTGCTGTGAGCTGATAGCTTCCTGTTGCAATGCTGCCCTTTGGGGGCAACCCTAGCCAAGGACTGCACACAATGTGAGCATTGGCATCTGACACTCTTTCACAAGAGTACAAGTTCCTGGGTAATCCTGCCCAACACAAGCCCCCTCTGTTGGACAACTTGAGCCAGAGCTCCTGAGGAACTAGCAGACTGAGAAGCTTCTACCATGGTCTACAGCTCTCTACCTTTTGCAAGAATCGCCTCTTTTACTCCTAGCTCCAATATTTGCTTCTTAGAGAAGCTGATATCTGTATCTAGATACCTTTTTGTAGTTATTTGCCTTTTAAATTCTGAACACTGTGCATATGACCTTGTTTTCTTTTTATCCTTGTTTAAACTTTCATAGTTTTTATTAAACTGGCTGTGTTGACTAGTTTTTGTCAACTTGACACAAACTAGAGACAACTGGGAAGACGAAACGTCAACTGAGGAATTTCCTCCATCAAAATGACCTAAAGGCCAGTGTGTAGGGGCATTTTCTTGATTTTTGGCTGATGTAGGAGGTCCCAGACCACCCTGGGCAGTGCTATCCCTGGGCAGGTGGGATTGGGCTGTATAAGGTAACTGAGTAAGATAGGGGGAAGCAAACCAGTAAGCAATGTTTCTCCATGGTCTCTGCTTCAGTTCCTGCCCTTGCTTCCCTTGATGTTGAACTGTGAGCTGTAAGCCAAATAAACCCTTTCCTCCCCAGATTGGTTTTGGCCAATGTTCTATCACAGCAAAAGAAATCTAACTAGAACACTGGTAAAGTTGTGTGAACATTTATCATGTACAATATGTTGCTTTGTAATATATATACATCACGGAATGCCCAAACCAAGCAAATTAACATACATAAATTATTTCATGCACTTTTTGTGGTATGAGCACTAAAAATCTATTCTCAACAAGTTCAGAGAATACTATGCATTGCCATTAGCTGTAATCACTATATTGTACAGTGGATTGCTTGAATTTATTCTCTTGTTCAACAGGAACTTTGTGTCCTATGACCACAATATCCGCACCCAATCCCATGCCCAGCCCCTGGAAATGGCCATTCTACTTTCTATATCTATGATCTCAACATTTTAAGATCCTAAGAATAAATGAGATCATATGATATTTGACTTGATGTGCCTGACTTGCTCTACTTAACATTGTATCTCCAGGTTCATCTACATTGTTGCAGACAGGATTTATTTATTTCTTAAGGTCAAATAGTATTCTGTTGTGTATGTGTACCTTATTTTCCTTGTCCATTTTCATCCACTCATGGATACTTGGGCTGCTTCCTTGTCTTGGCTATTGTGAAAGATACTTCAGTGAACATGGGACAGAGCTTCAACATACTGATTTCATTTCTTTTGGATGTGGATCAAGCAGTGGGGTTGTTGGATCTAATTTAAACAATGGGAAGACTGATTTTAAAGTTTCAGGCTCAGGTTAAAACATGATCTATATTTATAGGAAAAAGTTCTCATTTGAGGCTTGGTTCTCATAATTGGAACTATAAGAACATAACTATCTCTTCTTCACTGAGCAGATTCTTCTCCTTCTTAACATCAGCCTACTGTCATTTTTCCTTGATAGCTTTTCCTCCATCCTCCTGATTCCAGCTTTGCAAATCTTGCTGTCGATACTTCTGCTTTATTTTTTTGCCAATACACCACTCTTGCTTCCTTATTACACACGGGACTCATAGAATTAAGCATTAGTAGAAACAAAAGATTATCCATGTTGAGACTCCATCTGGTATTAGAGATGCTGTAGAACTCTGAGCCAGTGACTGTCCAGCCTTAGTTTCACACAGGGGATGGAAACTACCCACCCTTTGCATCCTAACCATCTTTTCTTTTTGTCCATTCTCCTTTTATTTTATTTCCATTACATTTTTGTTTGTAAAATTTATTCTTTGAAAATTTCATACTTCTGCACAACATATCTTAATCATACCCCACTCCTTCCAACCTTTCTCCTGGGAACAGCCCCCCCTTCAACACATCTCCCTCCTAGCATCATGTTCTCTTTCTGTCTTTTAAAAAAAATAACAGCCTGAGTCCAATTAATACTGTCCATAGGTGCATGGGCGTGGGGTTATCCACTGGAGCATTAACTTTTTCTCAGTATGTATCTTGTAAAATAATGGGTTTCATTGTATTATTTTCATATGCGCATATAACATATTTGATCATATTTTCTGTTATCCTCTCTTATTCCCCAGCTCAGTTCCATTCCTATTCCTGAATAGTCTCCCTTTTACTTTCATGATTTAAAAACCATGTAAATTCTAGGGACTGGAGAGATGGCCCAATGGTTAAGAGCACTTACTGCTCTTCCAGAGGATCTAGGTTTGGTTCTCAGCATCCATATGGTGGCTAATAACCATCCTTAACTCCAGTTCCAAGGGACCTGACGTTCTTCTCTTCTGACCTTCATGGGCACCAGATACACATGTGGTGCACTTACATAATGAAGGTAAAACACTCACACACCATATATATAGATATAGATATTAATATATATGGTATATATACCATATATATGTATATATATATTTTTCCCTAGATTCTGCATATGAGAAAAATATGGCAATAGTTGTCTTTCAGAATTTGGCTTATTTTGTTTAGTGTGATTATCTCCAGTTCCATCCTGTTTCCTGTAAATGACATTTTTTTTTTTTTTTTTTTTTTTTTTTTTTTTTTTTTTTTTTTTTTATTGTCTTTTTGAGACAAGGTCTCCCTGTAGCCTCAGCTGGCCTGGAACTTACTATGTAGATCAGACTGGCCTTGAACCCACAGAGATCCGCCTGCTTCTGTCTCCTGGGTGCTGGGATTAAAGGCATGGGCCACCACACCTGGCTGGCTTCATTTTTTTTTATGGGTGATTAAAACTTCATTGTATATACATACCACATTTTCTCTATCCATTCATCTGCTGATGGGCACCTACACCAATTCCATAGCTTAGTTATTGTGAATAGTTGCTGCAGTAAACATGGATGCATAGGCATCACTGTAATATGCTGACTTAGATTCTTTTGAGTGCATGCCCAGGAGGTATAGCTGGATAGCTCTACTTTTTCAGTTTTTTTTTTTAAAGAACCTCCGTACTGATTTCCATAGTGGTCAAGTTAATTTACATTCCTACCAACACTATATATATAAAAGTTCTGTTTTAATTTTTTTCTTATCTTTCAGTCTTTTCCTGAATTTGATTTCCTCTGTAACTTTGAGTAACATTGATGATTTAAGTGACTTAAAATCTTTCAATGATATTAACAATACTGATTGAAAATTTCTTAAAAAAGGATTTATTTCATTTTTTAAAATTATGTATAAGTGCAGGTGCCCTCAGATGCTAGAGGAGGCCATTGAATCCCTTGGAGCTGGAGTTACAGGAGGTTGTGAACAGCTTTAGTTGGATGCTGGGAACCAAACTATGTCCTCTGCAGGAATAATACAGCTTTTAACCACTGAGCCATCTCTCCAGTCCTCAAAAGTGTTTTTATTTTTAAAAGAGGAACAACTCCCTCTCTGAATGGTATTACAAGTGGGAGCATAATTAGCTTTAAATAGAAAATGTTCTCTCATTCATCCACTCTAAAGATATCGTTTGAGTGCTAACATGTGTTTCACAGGGGCCAGCAGCAATGAAACATACAGAGAAAATAAAAAATGGAATCTATCAGAGGAGACAAAGATGTTTACAAGATCAAATGATCATAGGGACATAGGATATACTGAAGGGGTGGGTAAAGTGCGCCAAATGGCAGGCTAAGAAGTTCAGGACATGTGATGGCTATGGGATCTGGGCACACAGAAGGCAGGAGACAAATTCTTCCTTAGGAAGCAAGATGTGAACTGAGTTTGGTGGATGGGTAATCTGAGTTAGCAGAAAAATCATCTTGACTGTAAGGCTTGGAAGGGAGAAATATTTCCACATGGGACAAGGAGGAGCTTAGTGGGAATAGCGGAAGTTGGGGTGAGAATTATTTCCCCTCTCTGTCCTCTTTCAATTAGTCACTCTGCCTCTAGGAGCCTCGTAACAGCTGGTGTTCTCTATTGTCTGGGGTGCTGACTAAATCACCCTTTCTAGGCAGGAGCTGCTGACATGTGGGCTCTTTCATGGTTTCTCCTCCTGTTTCTCTGGGAAGGTGAGTGATGGCTCCTGCATGAGACTGTCTCCTTACTCCTCACTTCTTCTGTTCTTCTTTGGCCCTAGGCTAGCAAGACCCTTGGGGGATGAATGTATCAGCTCTTCCCTTGGTGGCACCTAGGCTGATTTCATAACTTAGCTATTGTGAATAGCACTGCAGTAAACATGGGTGTGCAGGTATTGCCACACAACACTGATTTAGATTCCATTGGCCATCAACCCAGGAGTGATGTAGCTGGGTAATAGAACAGTTTTGAGGAACTTCCATACTGGTTTCCAAGGAACAGGGGGTATAGTTTTGGAGGACCATAAAGAGGTAGACATCTGGGGGATATGGATGGGCTTGCATTTCCAGGGGGACAGTGATAAGGAACATTTTGGATGGTGAACAGACAGATGGGGGTTATCCCTAGTAGATGCTCAACTCAGCTTCAATGGAAATCTAGAGTCAGAAGAGGTAGCTGGAGCTCCATATTGAGTGTGTGGGCCAGAGAAGATGCTCTACTGAGGAGCCACAGCTACTGTTGCTGGCCTCAGCAACCCAGAGATATCAGCAGGGCTCTTTCCATCTCTTTTCAGCCAAAGGGTTTTCTGGAGATTATGAGGATCCTAAGGAAATAGTTGCAGTCCTTCAAGAGTCTGTCAACCTTCCCTTGGAAATATCATCTGATGAAGAGGTGGAGAATGTCATCTGGTCCTTTTGGAAATGACTTGCCACAGTGGTGCCAGGGAAAGAGGGACAGCCAGCCACTATCATGATGGACCCTCATTACCAGAACCGAGTGAGTGTCCCAGATCTCAGCTACTCTCTGTACATCAGCAATCTGACCTGGGAGGACTCTGGGATTTACGAAGCTAAAGTCAACCTGAGAACACCCCGTTCCTTATCATGGAGTACTCCAATCTCCATGTCTACTGTGAGTTTAGACTTTTTATTTTGGCTGTCCTGAGTTTAGCATCGATGATCAGGAGCTGAGGTATGCTTTAAGAGGCTGATTGTCTCTAGTGTGCCCTGCTCCAGTATCTGAGCTTCAGCCACAGGAGGGTGAACTGGAACAAGGAGGTGCTGGGCACTGTGGTACAGAGATGCCCAATTCAGAAAGAAGGATGATGAACATCATGTATAGAGCACCAGAGCGGCCTTTCTCACCCAGGGAGATTGTACATCCTCCAGATAAATGGCTTTTGAGCCTTTTATCCCCCTGTGTGATTTGAGGGCTACTAATCAGTTTCTTCCCTCTACTTGAACCCAAATTTCTTTTGTGTCTGTCACACTGAATTTACCTTGAATCTCGGAGAGGTGCTGATTAAAATATAAATGTCTTTGGGAGGAGTGGTAAGATTTTGTGCAATCAATGAAGCAGAAGAGAATTTGGAGGAAGGGGGGCATAAAGACAGAGAGTGAAGGAAGAAGATACCACTGCATACGTCTATCTTGGTTCCTCTGGGGCCGTGCAACCACAGTGGCTAGTTGTATTTGGTTTTGCTTATTTGTTGTTTGAGAGAAGGAGCTCTCAAGATAATCGCAAGCTTACCTCAGGCTTGAGGAATTTAGAAAAACAGAACTCCAGAGTGCTCAGTGGGTCTTTGTGTTTTGTTCTCATTTAGGATGACTGTCAAAGCCCCATATCACTGTGAACTTGGAGACCTCTGGGGATGGTGCCTGTAATATATTCCTGACATGCTCTGTAGAGAGAGCAGGCATGGATGTGATTTACAGCTGGCTTTCATCATGGGACAACATTGATACATCCCATGAAGGATGTGTCCTCAGCACATCCTGGAGGCCTGGTCACAAAGCTCTTTCCTACACTTGCAGGGTCAGCAATCCCATCAGCAACATCAGCTCCCATGTCATCCCTGCTGCATCCTTCTGTACAGGTACCAGCACCCCAGAGACAATCCCTGAGTTCATACGAGGTCTGCGCCTCAGGGCACTACCTCTCCCCTGACCTCTTGCTCTACATGGACTTCAGAACATAACACCTTTCTACAGAGGCTTGGCACCGGCTCAGGGAGGGACTACTTCACTGATGAGGTCTTTTTCTTTCTTTCTATCCAGATCCTGGCTATTCTGAGAAACATTCAATATTATGTCACCTTGTCAAGGGTTTGCTCCTCCTCTTGCTCTTGGCAATTCTAGCTGTGGGGCTCTGTCTGGGTCTTCCGAGCCCAGAAAAAGTGTGAAATGCCAAAGGTGAGGAAACTCAAAAGAAACCGAATGAAACTGAGGAAGATGAGGAAGCTGGACCCCAGTCCAGTCTGACTGCCCTCAATCCCCAGGGAATCCTCCTGGGGGACAAGTGGGAGAGAAGATTCAGGGTTGAATACTTAAAAGGGCCATACTTCCTGAGGGAAGACCATCTGGCAATAAAGTCCAATCTCCATTCTTGTGGGCAGCTCTGGCAAAACCTGTTTCTTACCTTCCTTACTTGCCCAGGTGTCTTTACTGGAAGCCCATGTGCCTTCTCAGGTCTGCCTTGGGGCAGGGAAATGAGTGTGAAGACCCCCTTAGAGTGTGGTGTTCATTCTTATTATATGCCCATCCTATTCCCAATCAACACAAGATGAGGGAGAGTCAGAACAAAACTGAACTTACAACTCCTAAAGGAGAGAGTTCAGGCACTTGGAATCCCACTAAGACTTTTTCACTCTCCTGCCCCCATTCTCCTCCTGGCAGAGAAATTTATTTAACTATTCTACCCAGTGCACCAAATCTAGAAGCAAGCCCACAAGAGATGGGAAAGGCCCTTGCTCCGTCTTACTGTGGGTTGTAGTTGATCCTGGTGACCTCTCTCATTTCCCTCATAGCAGCTGCTGTGGGCCTTTAGTGCTTACACAATAGGAGTGACAACTTGCTGGATCAATTGTCAAGAGCTTGGACCCTTGACTTTGTTTATGGTTGGTATTGGTGTCCTATCTGTTCTTTCTTTCTAGATTTCTAGGTCTTTGGGCCTTCTCACTGGAATCTCAGGACTAATGCCTATTCTTCATACTTGCTCTTTTCCTAGCCCTAGGCCTGATGTGCCTATCACATCAGTCTCCCCTAACCAGATCTTGTGGATTTTACTTAGGCAACTGCTGGTGTGTGTGTGTGTGTGTGTGTGTGTGTGTGTGTGTGTGTATGGGGAGGGTACAAGGGAAGCCACTTAAGTGATAAGACAGGTATAAATAGTAAGTGAATTGGTGGAAGTGGTATAGGATGGGCTATGGAGGGCACTGAGTGAAATCTCAGAAGACCTGGCCTTTGCTCTGCCACTTGCCTTGACCTGGAACACCGTTTACCCAACATTCATTGAGCCACACTTCATTTCCACAAAAAATGCATATTTGAAAGGAGAGATAGAGCTGGTGAGATGGCTCAGTGGTTAAGAGCACTGGATGCTCTTGCAGAGGACCCAGGTTTGGTTCCTAGCATCCACATGGTAGCTAACCACTGTCTGGAACTCCAGTTATAGGAGGATCCCTTCTGGCCTTTGTGCACATTGCATGCACATGGTGTACTTACATATATACAGGCAACTCACATAAAATTAAAATTTTCTTTAGAAAAAGAAAGGAGAAGAAGATACAAGTGCAGCTGCTTGGAGCTCTTACAGAGACATGTCTAAGCAAGTGCCAGAGTTCCCACCAATGTGGCATGGGCTGGGCTCCCTGGAGCCTTGGAAAAGCATCTGACAGGCAGGGAGGGGCCCATGTAGTAGGAGGCATTGCCAACATTGATCTGTGACTCCCCTCTTGTCTTTGAGGAGGATTCTGATCTCCAAAGTGTCTTCCAAGAATAAGAATATGAAGGGTACGGGAAGATGCAGTGGGGGAACATGGAGGCCAAGAACACCTTGCTTGTAGGAAAGTAGGATGCACGGGCTGACTACTGGAACAATCTGGGTGGAGGCTCTGTGAGGAGTAGGGGGCATATCCAGAAACCACACCTATGTGCACAAAGAGCATCTCCCCTCAGAATCTGTGAAAGATATAAGCCCTCTTGGAGCTTGGTTAGGATGTGGTTTGGAAAACTAGCCCCCAGTGAGCTTCTAAGACTACAAATTGATCTACCCTATTCTCCAAGACCCAGGACCCTTGGCTCTCTGGAAAACAATATTTGGCCTGAGGCTCGTAGTCTGGGTCTCCCTTAGGCCCTGAACAATTCCATCTCCTAAAAAGGCCTGTAGTCCTAACCTCTGACACTTCTCACACCTTTCAGAGGAGGTGCCACTACAGGGGTACTGACTATCTGGGGAAAGTCACTTTGAGTCCATTTTGCACGCAGAGGAACAGCCCATTTCTCATGTCTTTCAGGATCTGGCATACAGAAAGCAAACAGAAATGAATGGTACCTCTGTGGCTGGTCCAGGGATCTCCCCAGAGTTGGCAGAGTACCTTCTTCTCGTAGCCAGTCTGTGAATGGAGAAGGACTGAGGCTCTCAAACAGCCCAAAACACCTAGAAAAGGAAAGCTGAACCCCAAAAGAGGTTGTATCCTGCTAGAAGCCAGGATCATGACCTGATAGCGCTTTACAGTTTCCTCGCCATTTGAAATAGGGGAATGCAACCTGTGCTAGTGTTGAAGAGTCAGGGCAATCTGCCCTCAGAGAACTCTTGGTGGGGTGTGTAAAGACACAGTTTCAAGGTGTAGCAAGGGTTAAGGGTGAAGATGCAGCATGTCAGAGTCAGGAAAGATGTCCTGGAAAGGAGTCACACAATGAATCAATGATCAGCATCGAGTACAGCGAAAGGAGAAAATAGAACACTCAGTCAGACAGAAAACACACACTAAGGTGCTTATAGGTGAAGGAACACAGTAACTAGGGATAGCAAGGCCACACACTGTATGAAAGCAAGGTGGAGAGACAGGCAGAGAGGCCTGCCAACAGACCCTGGGCTGTGGGAGAATTCAGGCTCTGAATTTTTTCTTTTTTTGTTCTTCTTCTTTTTTTTTTTTTTTTTTAAACATATTCCTAAGTAATTTTTTTTTTTTTTTTTTTTTTTTTTTTTTTTTTTTTTGCTTTTTTGAAACAGAGTCTCACAGAGCTTAATGTCTCATTGGAAAAAAAAAAACAACAAAACAAAACAAAACACAAGTGGTTAATGACAATTGTGAGAAACCACACTTTTCTAAACAGTGAGAGGACCAGAGCTTCATGGGCATGTTCTCAACACACTCTTGGGACTCACTATTTTCTGATCTATCACAAGTTAAAAATATACAAACTGGCTGATGCTTAGTTTGGGTAGAATCCTGGTTGGCTCAATAAACCTTCCCAGAGGAGGAATGACTATGGGTCAAGGACAAGCCGGAGAAAAAGCTTTAGTTTTGGACTTCAGGGATTATTTTCATCAACTTTCATTTCTGGGGTGGTAGAGGAATAAACTACAGGCCCAAGTTCCCTTTTTTACAAAAACAAAACAAAGCAAACACACAAGTTACATTAATCAGACAAAAATGACAAGATACAAAATCATCTTTCAGAAAAAAAATCAAAAATCATTTTAAATCTCACTTTACAAAAATTATTTTAATGCACATGGGAATAGCTTACCCACCAGAAACCACCAGAGAGAGGAGCAATGAAACTCCTGTACTGGAGGTGGAGCCAAGAAATCAAAGACTTCCCTTTTTGACCATATTTTCTACCTTTTCGACCATATTTTCTACCTTTTCGTGCTGTGCTCCTAACCGCTGTCACTATGCTTGTGTGGGCTGTTGGGGCAGTCTGCTCCACTGTAACTGATGCTGTTGCTGCTTCTTGGGTCTTTCCTGGAGGGATGGTGGGAAAGCTATGCTCTCTCTCCAGCCTCTTTTTCCTCTAGCCACACATCCATCTATCCATGACATAAAACACCCAGACATTTACACGTGGAAGAATGTTCCAGCTATCAGGACTTTCTAAGCAAGGATGGAAACTCAACCACAGGAATGGGATCAGATAGGAGCTGGCTGACCACCTGAGGGCTGGTGTAACTATTCAGTAGTGCTTGAAATCATCTCCCAGGATCTCTCCTGATCTTGGTTCCATGATTCTATTAACTACATGACTGGAAGACCTCATTTGAATCCTGCCCGTTAGACTGAATGAGAGCAGTTATGTTGCTTTTAGGGAGGGCTGCCTGAGGATCACACTGAGAAGTACCTGGACAGGCAGTACTTGTTTAGGCATGGTGGGAAAGGCAAATGGCAGACCTGCACCTCCACAGCAGTGCCCAGCTGAGGAAGTTCAAATCTCTGAGGGGCCCCAAGGCCCCTTTTTTGTTTGAGGATGAAGTGTCCAAGGCAACAGGTTTCAGGATCCCTGTTGGATCTGAATGCATGTGGCTGGGTGGGTGGGAAATCCAGGGCATGTTCCTTCATCTGGTTGGGCCTGTTTTCTCATTAATCAAGGGGAGCTGCACTGACTTCACAGAGTGTCTGTGCATAATAAGCTAAAGCATCTACCCCAGGGCCCGGTGCCCTGCAAGGGGTTCAGTGAAGGTTCTATTTCATTTCTACCCTTTCAATCTCTCTTGTCAGGGTGCCTGCCATTTCTCCCCTCCGGGCTCATTTCTCTGGGTCGTTGGTGCTGGGAGCTGCCCAGGGAGCTGACTCTGCACCCTCAAACTCAGAGCGCAGCCTTCCCCAGCTGCACGTAAGGGAGGCGCCCGGGCTAGAGCTGGGTGCTTGCCAAGGCCGACAGGTATTTCCAGTCGGGTGAGAGAGGAAATGGGTGGGGATTAGGATTGGGGAGGAGATCTGAAGAGCCAGGGACCAGGGTGGATCCCCTGGGAGGGGGCGGGGAGTGCTCTCCTGGTGCTCCTGCCTCTGGCTCAGATTTCAACCCTCCTAACAGCCTTTGTGGCACGCTTGCTCACAAAGGGGAGGGGGTTTACAGGTAGGTTACAAAGGAAGGAGAGCGTGCTGGCAGCTTGCAAAGGGGCTGCCGGGCCTTGGTGCAGTGGTCTGCCCTAGTAGCCCATCTGACTGGAGGCGGGAAGCCGCGATCCGCCTTTCCACGCTTGGTAGTGCAGAGCTCCACGAGGGGGCGACCGGAGCCCACGTGCGACTGAGTCCTTAGCTCCCTAAACTACAACTCCCAGGCGGCTCAGGGGTCCCGCCCGCCTTGTCTGGCCTCTGTTGGCTCCAATTGGCCGCCGCGGGAGGGGGATTGGCGGTCTCCAGGGCGACGGGAGGCGCTCGGGGCATCCAGGCGGGGAGGCGGGTCCGCCCCCTATTGTGTGGCTGCGAGAGCAGAGCGGTGCGGTGGAGAGCAGGTGAGAGTGTGGGGGTGCTGGCAGGGACGTGGGGGCTAGTGAGGAGTTACGGGGGACAGGAGGGAAGCGGGCTGGGGGGAGCTCTGGAGAGAAGTGGAATTCTTTGGGGGAGCAGAACTAGGGGAGTTCTGGGAGCGAAGTGGAATTACTGGTGGTCGAGTGGGGGTTCCCCGAGATCTGGAAGAGTTCTAGGGGTAATGTGGGGGAGTTCTTGGAGGATTCCCAAAGAAAGGAGCGTTCCAGGAGCGGGAGAATGCGAGGGAAAAGAGAATTGTGGTAGGGTATCAGAAGTGTATTGTGGGCTGAGCCCTGAGGATTCCAGGGAGAGAAATTCCCGGGGATGGGGTGGGGTGGGTGGGCGAGTGGGTTTCCTGGAATAGACCAGCAGGGAGTTCTTTGGAACACCAAAGACCTGCCACAATTGGAGATCAGGTGTGAGAGACTGAAATTTGCTTCTGTGAGAAGCAGGGATGATTGGGATGGGAGTACAGGGAGAATGAGTGCTGGTGGGGAGACCAGAAAGGGTAGAGGATGGATGAGGGGAGGACCTGGTGAGATGCTGGAAGAAGTGGGAGAATTCTGGGTGTGCCTGGGTTACAAGATGCAGGAGAGAAAGGTTCCTATACTCTAAAATTTGAGGAAAGGTTTTTTTGGGAAGTCTGGGTGAGCTGGCTGGGTGCATCGGGAGGCAGGTGAATTGCCAGGAGTCAGGCATACAGGGGTATTAAGCAGAGGAAGGGGTGGTACTGCGATGTGGAGGGTTATTTTACAACTAGTGTTGAACTGTGTAAGGCCAAGAGTTGGGTGGAGGCCCCAGAGCAGAGTCCACTTGGCTTTGCTAGGCCCAGGCCAGGGCCCTTTGGCCTGGTGTGACTGTCCTAGGATCTGTGGGACTGGCACTGTCCGGAAGTGCCTACTTTCCATGCCCTGTGGTTCATTTTTTACATCCTAGGGACTCAAAAACATTTTTGGTTTCTTTCAGATTCTGCCCCTGGGGTTAGAGAAGGGAGAGTCTAGCAAATCCTGGTACCCCTGGGATACTAGAGAGGCAGTGAGTGGGAGTAAATGGGGTGAGGCACTGGTGTCTGGCAGAGGGAGGGCTCTCTGGCAGCATCATGAAGAGGGAAGTGGCTCCAGCTGCCAGCCCCGGGATTTGTCCAGACCTGGAGGATGCTGCCTGGGCCCCCCATACCAGCAGGTGGGGAAGGCAGCTCCTCCTCTCCCAAGTCCCTGACTCACTCACTGCCAAAAGCAGTGTTGAGAGACCCAGTAGAGAAGTCTGCACTGTCTCCAGGGTCTAGGGCTCCTCACAGACACTGGGAAAGGGGTGAGGAATTGGATGTGGGTGCTCTCTAGACCACTGTCTGTGGGGTAAAGGGCTAGATTCTAATCCAGAATTTGCATGACTAGACATCTGCTCCTGAGCAAGACCCCCAGGGTCCTTAAATGGTCACATTGGGAGTGTTTGTGTGTGGGTATGTGGGTTATAAATCTGTTTTTATCTTGCTATCTGTTGCCTTGTTAGCATCAGGAGAAAGAGAAGGGAGAGGAGGCTAGCCTACAGTGGTCTTGATTTCCACACTTCCCTGAAAAAACCCTCTACCTCTTGTGTAAGAATCCCCTAAGTCTCCTTGCACACTTTGCCAAGAACATTATAATCCAGGCATTCCCAGAATTCCTTACATCTTCTAGGTTCCATTTCGTTAACCTGTGTAGTCTCCCCAGACAGCACTGTCTTGTTCTCTGTGTTCCCATTCCAGCTTAATCTCGGGGCTTCAAGGTTTCTGGTTTGGGGGTTGGGGGCTGGGGTGTAGCTTAGTGATGGACTACTTGCCTAGCAGGTGTGAGGCCCTGGATTTATCTCCAGCAGTACACATAAAAGATCTCTGGACTCTTTGCAGGTACCCTCCACTTCTCTACTCCCTCTTTTCATCCTTGTGCTTTGCTCTAACTGGACGCTACCATTGACCAGCATTGTATGTTCCCTTATCTTTTACATTTAGATCTGGTGTCTCTCCAGGCTGGAACAGCTTTCTCGGGTGTTAATGAGCTAGGAGCTAACTGTCCAAGAAGAGAGCTGAAGCTGGTTACCTGAAGCCAATCAGAAGGATTGACGCTCTCTTGTATTGCTAGGCGGTGGACATCCCTCGGCCCCTCCATCTGGGCTCCTGTGGCTAGGAGGGGCCGGGTGAACAGGCCAGCTGGGCTATGATTTGGTGTCTCAGTCTAACTGTCTTCAGCCTGATCATCAGCCAGGGGGCTGACGGTGAGCTCGATCCCTAGGGATCAACAACTCTATTACTGTGGGTGTGGATATTTCACAAGGGGTTCTCTGTGGGCATGTGAGAGGAGAAGAGGACAAGGGCTGGCTCTGGAGAACTTGGGCCTTCCTCCAGTCACTTGAAGTCCTAAGGAGACTACGGAGATGTTGATAGAGCCTCCCTTCCCAGCTCTCACTTTGACCCCTTGCTGTTCCCTCATGCTACCCACCACATAGGTCGAAGGAAGCCTGAGGTGGTCTCTGTGGTGGGCCGGGCAGGGGAGAGTGCAGTGCTGGGTTGTGACTTGCTGCCCCCGGCTGGCCGCCCCCCACTGCATGTCATCGAGTGGCTGCGCTTTGGATTCCTGCTTCCCATCTTCATCCAGTTCGGCCTCTACTCTCCCCGAATTGACCCTGATTACCTGGGTAAGAGTTGTCCTCAGGAGGGAGGGAGGGAGGTGTCACCAACAACAGTGTGCTGGGTAGGCTGCTCTGTCCCCCCTTCCTAATCTCATCTCCTGCTCCTCTTCCCTAACTTTGCTTATCAAGCATGGCCCTGCTCCCCAGCAGTGTTAATTCATTGAAAGATTCATTCATTTATACACAAATGCACGCATACATTATAGCTTTGCTATTTTAGAACTCTATGTGGTCTATTCCACAGGAGATCCTGCAGCTCTGTTTCAAGTGTCCATTCTAAGTCGCTAATTGCTCTATCTAGATATCATCATGCAACCTTCCAGCCTCTATCCTGATCTTCTGTAGTCTCCCCACTTGGCCTGTGCTGGTGCTTGGCTCTCCTATCTGCCAGCTCCCTTTCTTCCCCTCTCCTACTGTCCAGAATGCTATATTTTTAGGGAGTGGGCTGAAAGGGCAACAGAGTGGGTGGGGCTGCAGCCTCTCAGCTGCTCCCTGGGTTGTGGAGCATTCCCTGATTCTGAGTAGCAAAGAGTGTGAGCCCAGATAGGGCTGCGGGAGGAAGACTTCGGCTCAGTTCCCCAAAGGTCTCCAAAGGTGAATGGGATTGGCTGGATGGCTGCTTCAGGAGGCTCCTGTAGAGAGTATAGAGGCACCTCCTGCCCAGCCTTCTGTTGCACGCCCCTCACTCCCTGAAGTGACCTAGCTTGTTCCTAATTCTGCATGGAGCGATAATCTGGAGTGGTTTACTCTCAGATCTGGGGGCATGTGGGAAGCTCTAGGGATGGATCTTTGGGCAAGAGAGAGCCTTGGTGCTTTCTCTTTGGAAGTGAAGCCCAGGTGGTGATGCTGATGGAGAACCCTGGCCTTTTCTGTCTTTGGTTTGAATCCTAAGGGAGGCACTGGGATTGGCTGGGCTCTTGGCACAGGCAGGCTGAGCCTAGTGGGGAGGAGGTACTGGTAGGTGCTTACAGAAGAGAGGAGTTTATTTTCAAACTGGGGGCAGTTATTGGCAAACAGCCTGGTGGGGCTGTGTGTCTACACAAGCCCTGGGGACTTGATGAAATTGGGCCCCAATTAGCACAAGTGCAGAGAACAGCTTGGCTGTGCCTGCCAGCCATCCTGCCTCCCTCCCTGTCTCTGCCTGCCTGGGCCCCTTGCAGGGGCTTTGGCTTCAGGGCTGAGGCTGGGCAGATTCAGAACGTCACCCAACTGAGGCAAGATGGGGAGGTGGAGGAGAGGTGGGAGGGGCTTTCCTGGGACCCCACTTGGGAGATGTGAAATTCTGCCTTTCCTCCAGTGTTTTTCTTGTCTTTTCTTTTGGTTCCTGGGCAGATACATCACTAAATCACTGGCTCTTCTGTCTACCTGTGGATTTTCTCGTGCCTTTCTGTGCCACTCCTTGAGTAGCAAGGTCTGGGGGCTGTAACCTTTGGGCTTTCCTCTTACCTTTGTTCCCTCTCCTGCCCCTGACCAGTCTGGAACTCCTGGCCTAGTCACATGACTCCTGGTCTTGGTCAGTACCCCAGAGGGAGGCCTCTGAGCCTATTAACCCTTTTATTGCCTCATATAGTACAGAAGGGGGCCTCTCTGCCTTTGTGCAGGGGACTTGCAACTACAGTTGCTAAGCAACAGGAGGTGGAGGTTGCTGAGGACAATGCTGTTCTGTCATAAACCCTGTGGGCTAGTGGAGGAGAGATGGCCTGGAACTGTATGAGGCTAGTGGCCTAGAATGTGAGTGGGACCATGAGAGAGGCTTTGAGGACCACACTGAAGAGAAAGCCTCCAGCCTTGGCAGGCTCTCAAAGCTATGTAGCAGAGGAGCCTGGATTTTTAAATTAGCACAAAAGTAGTAAAAGGTAGATTAAATGATCTAGGATTAATAATCAGATTAAATTAGCTGCTGTCTGTAAAGTACCCAGCACAGTGTCTGCAGAGGGCAGTATGAAACAGACCAGGAATAGGTGAAAAGCAGTCTGGGCTTTGTTAGGTTTCCTGGATGGATGTTAGGCTGTCTTTGAATCTGTGAAAAAGGCTCTTGGCCCTAGACTTTTGTGCTGTATTCTTTGGGAGTTTCAGAGTTGTCCTACAGAGCAGAAGGGACTTGTGTTTTATGGCTGTGCTAAGTTGCTTGATAAAATGAATCAGATTGGATTATCCATCCAGAACTCCCTGCTCACTCTGATAAACCTCTCCTTACTGCCTTTGATCCTTCCAAGGCATCTAAGTAACTACATCTTCCCCCAAATGCTTCCTTACGCCTCCTGCTTCGTAGTGCAATGTCTGGGCACAGTTAGTGCCTTGCTTTGAACTTCTTTGTGAACGTATACTTGCCCATGTTCATGGTTCAGTGCAATGTGGGTTTCCTGCTTTACCAGAGCTTGAGAGAAGAGACACTAAGTCATTTGTCCTTTGCAGACTCTGTATGTGGGCAGATCTAAAGTCCATCAGGTTTGGCCCTTCAGGTAGAGGGCAGGCCTCCAAGAGGTGGGCATAGGACTCCCGAAGTCATAGGACTGCTGTCTGGCCACTTTCTTGTTTTATAACACCACAGCCCAATAGTTTGGATTTCCTGGGAAACTTAGTTTGTGCAGTATGCTGCATTGAATATTCTGGTTAACAGACATCAGGACTGTTAACCATTGGCTATTTAACACTTCTCTCTCTATATATATACATATATATGTATATATATTTAAATATTTTTATTCTATGTGTATGAATGTTATGCCTGCATATGTGTAAGTGTACCTATGTCATACAATGCCCATGGAGGACAGAAGAGGGCGTCAGATCCCCTGAAACTGGAGTTACAGATAATTGTCAACTGCCATGTGGGTGCTGAGATTCAAACCTGGGTCTTCTGCAAGAGCAGCCAGGCTGAGCCATCTCTCTAGTTCCTTATTCATGTATCTAAGTGCACCCATGTTGTGCAATGCCAGAAGAGTTCAGAAGAGGGTGTCAGAGCTCCTGAAAATGGAGTTAAGGACAGTTGTTAGCTACTATGTTGGTGTTGGGAACCAAACCCGGGTCCTCTGCAAGAGCAGCCAGGCTGAGCCATCTCTCTAGTTCCTTATTCATGTATCTAAGTGCACCCATGTTGTGCAATGCCAGAAGAGTTCAGAAGAGGGTGTCAGAGCTCCTGAAAATGGAGTTAAGGACAGTTGTTAGCTACTATGTTGGTGTTGGGAACCAAACCCGGGTCCTCTGCAAGAGCAGCCAGTGCTCTTAACCACTGAGCATTCTCGCCAGCCCTGGCTCCCAACATTTCTTAAGTGAAAATGTAGAGTTATGCTCAGTGTCCTGAGTGACCCTGAAGTCAGCAGCCTGGCTTGGTTTCCTACTAGCTAGGCAATTTTGGAAAGAAATTTAACAACAGTTCCTTCATCAATAATGGAATTCTTAGGAGGATTAAATATGGTGACAATGTCTAATATTACATGGGTCATATTTAACCCTTAGTCTCTTTCCTTTCTTCTGGAGCTCAAAGATCCCCATAACATAAAGTTACTATCATGGGAGCACAGAGGTTATAGTCTGGGATCTGCAGGGCTCAGTGGTCAGGCAGATTAGGATGGCTAAGGAGTCCTGTTGGTGCGAGAAAGGGTATGATTATGTTAAATATTTACCTGCTGGGCTTAATTTTATCTCCTGGGTGGTAGTTAAACACCTAGCCCTGAAAACAGGTCCACCCATTCTAAAGAATCCATCCACACCCCAGGGACCCACTTTTGAAGTCCTCTAAGATCATGAGCTAGCCTTGACCTGACAGTTGTTGTCTTCCCAGTGGCATCAGAGGCACATAGACTGTGCTACTTGAGACGGGCCACCCTAGAAATAGAGTGGAAGATGGCTGGACAGGGTGGGTGTCCCAGCAGCCTCAGGATTCCTACTGATGGGATTCAGGGAGGGTAGGGGTAGGCATAATGCTAAGGGCCTTGTCTGGGAGCTGCATTTGCCTATCCTGTAAAGTTTAGAAAGTTCCATTTGTCCACATCAGAGGTCAAAGTGAGGGTGAGCAGCTGGTGAGTGTAGAGGTGAGGGGGTATCTGGACAACCCAGGAGAGAGAAACTGCATGCCTCAAGGCAGAAGGTGGTAGAGGGAAATATAGATACTTAGGAGGTGGTATTTGAAAGGTATAATGAACAAGCACATGGCAAGGGGTGATAGAGGAATCCAGGTTGTGCCAGGCTTCTGGCAAGGCTACATGGTGTGTGGTAGTCCAGTTCACTTATGTGGAAAAGGAAAGGGAGATGATATGTTATCTGGTGAGGAATGGGGCCAAGATTGAGCGCAGGCATCTGATTTTTCAATCGGTAGCTTATTCATTTGTTCAATAATTTATTTGAGGATCCAATGATGCCAGGTGCTATGCTGTACACTCCCTGTACATTATCTTGCCCTCCACCTCATCCCAATTTTTCCCTTTTATGATTTTTACAGATGATGAAACTGAAATTGACAGGTAGAGTAACTTATCTAAAGGAGTACAGAACTGACTGGATGTGTTTGTACCTAGATCTTCTTGACTGCCAAGCGCATGCCATCCTCACTTAGACTGTGTTGCCAGGGACCCATGAAGCTGTCCGGGTGCAGGGTTCCATCAAAGGAGTGTGCTGAGGGATTGGGTGGGCATCTCAGTCAGCCTGGCGGTGTGCTGTGGATGCTGACACGGTGGGATTGAAGTGTCTGCTTGTGCTGTGGTGTGTGGCTTTGTGGGGCTGTTTGTGGTCAGTCAGCTGGGGCATGGATGGGATGGGTTGGGGTGAGGAGGCTGCTGATTTTGTTGCCTGGCTGGGATGGACTTCTAAGGCGCTCAGACAGCTGATAATAACTCTGAGGGATTAGGGGCTTTAGCAGGCGAGGCCTGGGTCCCTGTGAGGGCCCCAGGCACTGCTGGGGAGTCCAGGGACAGAGGCCTCCGGAAGCAGGAGTGCTCTGGGGAGCTCATATCTTATCTCTCTAAAGGAGCTCAGGGATGGGCAGATCTTGTAGGAGTCCAGAGGAGACCAGGTGCTGGCTCTTTACTTCACCTCTTCCCCTAACAGTCTGAGAAGTTCAGTGTGTTTCAGTGGAACATCTTACTCACTTGCAATACCTTGAGCTTTTCTTGTCTGGGTCTCAACTGTTGAAAGGCAGGAGCACTCAGAGGGCTGACAAATAGCAGCCTGCCCTCAATGGCTTCAACCCTGTCAGTTTCTCTGCAGATCCCCACCCTCAGATAACAGATCGAGACTATATTCAACCTCTGGGAATGGCCAGTGTGACCAGGGCTTGGGGGCTCCTGCTAGGCCCTTTTAACACCTCTGATTCAGGGATTCCCTTCTCAGGACGAGTCCGACTGCAGACAGGAGCATCTCTGCAGATTGAGGGGCTCCGGGTAGAAGACCAAGGCTGGTACGAGTGCCGCGTGCTCTTCCTGGACCAGCACAGCCCTGAACAAGATTTTGCCAACGGCTCCTGGGTGCACCTGACAGTCAATTGTATGAGCTGGGGAGCAGGTGGTGAAGGGAGGGAGGAGAATGATGGTGACCCTAGTGGTGAAGGGCAAGAGGAAGTTAGTTCTGTTTCCATCCCAGTGCAGTGCTAATGCCCTGCCCTGTTGGCATCCTGTGTTTGTTCACTTAGTGCTTGCATCTTACTTACCCCTACAGTCCCCTCCACCCTTTCAGTTCTTCAAAGAAAGTCCAATTAGCCTCTTAGACTCTGAGTCAGGAACTTAACTCTTCCACTTTCTGCCCTCTGCCTCCTTGGCCAGAGTCATTGTTAGGACCTACTGAGCCCCGAATGATACAGCTTACCTGTGCAGAGCACTTCTCACCCAGAACCTCACTGTTTCTCCCTTACCTCCAAAAGGAGGGGATGCATAATTATTCCTATTTCATAGGTGGGTCCAGGACAGAGAATCAGGTAGGGAAGTAGCTTGTGGCAGGGCAGAGTCTAAGACCCATACCTCTTGACTCCTGGACTCTGCTGGGGCCCTTACCTCTCCTCCTAGCTCTGGATGCCCAGCCTGTGCTCAGCTTGTCCCGATGTTGGGGATGGCTGATTCAGGCCTCTGTGTTCCCTTTGTCAGTAGACATGTTGCCCCAGGCTAGGATTTCCATGAAGCTGGGTGGGCTGCAGCTCTAAGAGATTGTCTCCTTGGCTCTTAGATAACTTTTTGGCCTGATAGCCTCTCTGGCAGCCCCTGATGCCTCTGCCACCTACTCTCCCCACAGCACCCCCTCAGTTCCAGGAGACACCTCCCTCAGTACTGGAAGTCCAGGAACTGGAGGCTGTTACCCTACGCTGTATAGCCCAAGGCAGCCCCCAGCCTCACGTGACTTGGAAACTCAGAGGACAGGACCTTGGCCAGGGCCAGGGTCCGGTACAAGTGAGTGGAATGTGAGGGACAAGTGGGAAGACAGAGGGGTCAAAACCAAACTGAGAGATGGGCAGAGGAAGGCTTTGCTTTGGCTTCCCTGAGCCTGTGGTGCTGCCTCCCTCTGCTGGCAAGTCTTAGAAGTTCAGAGTCTGAGACTGAACTCAAGGACCTTTTCTTAAGGACTCCTTCCCTAGGTGCAGAATGGGACACTGTGGATCCGTCGAGTGGAACGAGGCAGCTCTGGAGTCTACACTTGCCACGCCGCCAACACTGAGGGCAGCGTCACCCACACCACCCAACTGCTGGTGCTAGGTGCTCTTTGGTGGGAGGGCTGGGGACCCAGAACACCTATGTGAGAAGACATAACATGCTGGGGAGGCACACAGCAAGATGGGGGAGGAGGACTGTGTCTGAGGAAGGGACCCATGTAGGGTGAGAGAGCTCCCAGCACAGACTGTTGTCTAAAACCATCATCTTAACTTTAAACGGATGAGTAAATGGAAGTTTTAGTGCCCAGTGGTGTTTTACAGTAGAAAGGACATGGGTACTGTGTTAGGCTACAAACCATGTGACTTCTGGGTCCTGGTTTTGCCATCTCAACAATGATACCTCTCAGAACTGTGACAAGGACAGGGAGTAACACAGAGTCATTCCTGCCCAGTCCTTCCATTTGGAAGGAAAGACAAACGTGTGAGGCCTGGAGTCAGCCTTCATAGCACCTGTTTGCTGTGAGGGAAAAAAACTAATCTGTGAACCACAAGAGTGTTGCTTTCCTTGATGCCTGCAAAGCAACAGTGCTAGTAATAGTTAAGGACAGACCATGGCAACAGGTAAGGCCCCAAAAGGAGTCTTGCTTCCCCTTTTGACCTAGGGCAATTCATCTCCCAGTGTGTCTGCCTCTGAACCTCACCCGTCAAAGTGAAATGATAATTCTTACCACACTGGTTCAAGGAGATGAACAGGCAAAGTGCTAGGCTCTCAGTGCTGACCTGTGGCAGGTACTCTGTACAAATGTGCTTGTGCCAGTCCTGGTTGTTGTTGACTGGCCTCGCAGTAGGGCCTAGGGATGGAGAAGGCAGTGGAGGTACAGTAGCCAGAGACAGGCTTGCAGGAGGTGTGTGGCTGGGCTGGTCTGGTCTCTAGGAAAAGGTATTCCAGACCTGGGATTCAGAGAGTAGAAACATTGGGGACAGGAATCGTGGCATGAGGACAGCCTGCTGCCCAGCCTGACCTGTAAGAGCTGATCTATGGAAAAATGGGTGGAGCTTGTGGGGAGCCACTGTAGGATCTGGGGCAGAAGTGCTCTATGGGCAAACGCTCTACACCAATGGCCATTAATTAGCATTGGGGCAACATGTGAGTCTGGATTCAGGTGTTGCTACAGCATCTTGGGTGAGGTACGGGTACCTAGGAAGGAAACATGGGACATGATAGGGGCACAAAGGATGAGTGAGTCTGGGTTTGTTACTCATAAGAGGATGGGACAGTAACAACCAGCCCTGTGTTATAGAGGGCAGAGTCAGGAAGAATTGTAGAAGTGCCCTGAGGATTCTGGGAAGACTGCGCTGAGGACACCCTCTCTCTTTGTGCTTCCTACAGGACCTCCTGTTATTGTGGTGCCCCCCAAGAACAGTACAGTCAATGCCTCCCAGGATGTTTCCTTGGCTTGCCAGGCTGAGGCATACCCCGCTAACCTCACCTACAGCTGGTTCCAGGATGGCATCAATGTCTTCCACATTAGGTAGGGTCACCTATATTTTGGGCAGTGAAGGGAGGGAATTGATAGACATCTGTGAGGAGTCCCTTGTCTGGGCCTGGACCCCCACCTCACACATGCCATATTGCAGCCGTCTGCAGTCTCGAGTGCGGATCCTGGTGGATGGCAGCCTGCGATTGCAGGCCACCCAACCTGATGATGCTGGCCAATATACCTGTGTACCTAGCAATGGCCTCTTGCATCCACCGTCAGCCTCTGCCTATCTCACTGTGCTCTGTAAGTCTGACCCCAGCCCCTTCCACATCCTGTTCTCCCCTGGACCAGGCCCAAGACATTGTCTTCCAATTTGCCTCTGTTTTCTTCCAGACCCAGCACAGGTGACATCCATGCCTCCTGAGACGCCCCTGCCCATTGGCATGCAGGGGGTGATCCGGTGTCCGGTCCGTGCTAACCCCCCACTGCTATTTGTCATCTGGACCAAAGATGGGCAGGCCTTGCAGCTAGACAAGGTACAGGTGAAGGAAGGTCTTAGCTGGGCATTATTCTGGTTAGAGGGCCAACTGGAGTGGTTAGCTGAATTTAATTCAGCTCCATGGTTAGGGACCGGAAGCTTACCAAATACTACACAAGTGTTCGATGGGGAGGTGTGACAAAGAAGCATCCATGCCTAAGGCGAGCACTGCCTCGGAGGGAGAACTGCATCAGAGACTCTTTAGAAGGACAAAGATGGAATAAGTGTCTTCTTTTTTAGGTCAGGTTGAAGATAGATCAACAGCAAATTCTGGGACTTTGGTGATAGGCCCTGAAGGGTGGACAGTCATCCCATGCTGAAACAGCTGCCCAGAGGCAGGACATTGTGTAGTCTGTTGACGAAGTGATGAATCGGACAGTCAGGTGGGCACCACTCTGGGTGCCTGTAGGGAGTGCTGTAGAGAAGTCTGAAGAGACTATAAATTCCTTGGGGCCTAGTCTTACATCTTTTCATCCCATGCCCCCCGGGCTTTTGCAATAGTAGGACTCAGTAAATTTCTGCTGCAAGTTTTAAAAAGTCTAAAGGCAGTTGCAGCCAGGGAATGTTTTCAGCAACACTGGGGTAATATCAGGGCTGTGATCAGGAGATGTTTGTCAGGCATGGAGCAGGAAGGTTGTAAGGCAGTGGAGATGATCCAGGTGAGGGGTTATGAAGTCTGAGCTAGAAAGGTCATGAAAATAGATGGGCTTTCATGCATAGACCAGAAAGACACAGATGTATTTAGATATGGAAAGGGAGGGGCAACCTTTATCCACGAAGGTTAAGGTGGGAGGCTTTCTTTTAGGAGCTGATTTGGGGCAGGAGATGGAGTGTCTAACAGTGGAGTGCTGGGAGGTCACAGCAGGCAGAGAACCCCACATGGTTCAGTTCTAGGGGCCATTTACTCTCTTTTCTGTGAGTGGCACCCATGAAGCTGTGCTGTCACAGCCTCAAACCCACTGATAGTGGCCCCTCTGTTGGAAAGAGAGAAGTGAAGGACCAAAGTCTAGAGAGACGTTCGGTCAAGTTTCTGCATAGTGTGTGCTTCTCATAACATATACCCTCTATTGGGTTGCTGCTCTGCAACCTGGCCTTGCTTCTGCTGAGTTTCTTTCTCTAGCTGTCATTTCCTCTGCCTTCTAGTTCCCCGGCTGGTCCCAAGGCCCAGAAGGCTCATTGGTCATTGCCTTGGGGAATGAGGATGCCTTGGGAGAATACTCTTGTACCCCCTACAACAGTCTTGGTACTGCTGGACCCTCCTCTGTGACCCACGTGCTGCTCAAGGTGAGGCCCACAGTGGACCTGCCTTAATGTCCGTCAGGTGGCTAAAGATGTGCTTTAGGCCATGGTCACAGGGTGAGTAGGGCAGACAGGTGTGGAAGGAACTTTTGAGTCTGGTTCTCAAGGTGGTCATAGAAGCAGCTGGCAGAATTGGAGAGATGGTTCTGGGGAAGTATGACATGAGTCATGTGCACATTGACAAAATGAGATCTCTGTCTACTTTCAACCATGTTGCTTCCTAAACCGGACCTCCAGGGAAGGGAACAAAGGGGAGGGAGAGAGGATGATTTGGAGAGGTTCATCCATTTCCAGAGAGTCCTGTCTCAGCCCACCATTTCCCTACAGCCCAACCTGCTGGGAACAGGGACAGAACTAGAGAGTAATTGAGAGATGGAGCTAGAGACTGAGACATGCAATGTGATAGGGAGCTGGGGGCATGGGGACCCAATCATAGAAATGGAAGAGAGGCTGTGAGAGAGGCTCCTCCCAATGCAGATATGGCCTGCAGGCTCCCCCAGCTTTTATAGACCGGCCCAAGGAAGAGTATTTCCAAGAAGTAGGGCGAGAGTTACTCATCCCCTGCTCGGCCCGCGGAGACCCTCCTCCTACTGTCTCTTGGACCAAGGTAAGGCTCCTGACTGGGCTCCTTCTGGGTCCATACCCACTGTATCCCTGCCTCTGTGCCCCTGGCTGTAATGAGGGAAGGAGGATGTGGGAAAGAATAGACTGTCAGAGGCAAAGTGGGGTGGGAACAGTCCACCTGCAGAGATGAGTGGCCCCCTTGGTGAGGGGTGGCTGCATGTGTCCTCAGGGCTGACCAGTGGTTCTGTAGGTGGGCCGGGGGCTGCGGGGCCAGGCCCAGGTGGACAGCAACAGCAGCCTCATCCTGCGGCCGTTGACCAAGGAGGCCCATGGGCGATGGGAATGCAGTGCCAGCAATGCTGTAGCCAGAGTCGCAACCTCTACCAATATCTACGTGCTGGGTTAGTGATGTGGGAGTGGGCTGGGGCTCAGGGGAATGGAAAAAGAGATGGGAGAATTGTTCTTTGGAGACCTAGATGGAGGTTTGTGGATATGGGTGATGGGTGGAGGACTGAGCCCCTGATTTGCTCTTCACCTTCTCTTAGGGTCCTGACCATCATCCCTCCCTCCATTCCCCCTACCCAGGCACCAGCCCCCATGTTGTCACCAATGTGTCCGTGGTACCTTTACCCAAGGGAGCCAATGTCTCCTGGGAACCTGGCTTTGATGGTGGCTATCTGCAGAGATTCAGTGTCTGGTACACCCCATTGTGAGTGACCTGCTCCTGCTTCCAACCTGGATCTACCTGGCCCTCTGTCCTTTCTTCCAGTCCTCCATCCCTAATCACATGCTAGCCCTAATGCCCTGTCCAGAGATTATTAACATTCAGGTCCTGAGACCAGTGGTTGAGCAAAGTGGGGAGGTCAGCTCTCTGGACCCCACTCCATCGTGATCTTCCTAGCTCATGAGATTTCCTTACATTCCTCAGGGCCAAACGTCCTGACAGAGCTCACCATGACTGGGTATCCCTGGCTGTGCCTATGGGGGCTGTACACCTACTAGTGCCAGGTCTGCAGCCTCACACACAGTATCAGTTCAGTGTCCTCGCTCAGAACAAGCTGGGGAGTGGGCCCTTCAGCGAGATTATCTTGTCGGTACCAGAAGGTAAGAAATCCTCTTCCCAGCACAGCAGGGACAAGGATGGGGAAGGGAAGGTCACCATGTGGAAGAACTTAGAGGTGGGAAGCAGGCAGAGATGCTGGGCAGCTTGGGGTCTGGAGGGGGTACAGAAGGGCTCTAGCAGAATGGATGGGCACTGGGACTTAGGGAAGGACAGGACAAAGGATGTTGAGATGCTTAACTCTTACTTGCTTATCTGTCCCATTCAGGGCTTCCTACCACACCGGCTGCCCCCAGGCTTCCCCCAACAGAGATGCCACCTCTCCTGTCCCCTCCAAGAAATTTGGTGGCAGTGAGAACACCTCGGGGGGTGCTCCTATACTGGGATCCTCCAGAACTCATCCCTAAGAGACTGGATGGCTATATCCTGGAAGGACGGCAAGGCTCACAGAGTTGGGAGATATTGGACCAGGCTGTCGGAGGCACTGAAATGCAGCTGCTGGTGCCTGGCCTCATCAAGGTATGTGCATCAGGCAGTACAGGGAGGGAGGGTCCTTCCAGGGACTCTAGTGTCCTTCACTCCCCAGTTCCCATCGTGTCACCCTGACTTGACCATCGTCACCTCCCCGTCCTACTTTACTCTTAACCTATCAACTGCATTCTTCACAAAGGGACTGTGGTGGGTGGTGCTGGCCCAGAGCTGCTCCATGGCTCTCCACCTCTAATCCCTAGGATGTTCTCTATGAATTTCGCCTTGTAGCCTTCGCTGGCAGTTATGTCAGTGATCCTAGCAACACAGCCAACATCTCCACTTCTGGTGAGAACCCAGTGGGAGGGAAGGTGGCTATGGGTTATGGAGGTTTACAGCCACTGACCTCCTTTCTGGTCTCCTTGCCCAGGCCTGGAGGTCTATCCCTCACGAACACAGCTGCCAGGCCTCCTGCCCCAGCCTGTGTTGGCTGGAGTGGTGGGAGGGATCTGCTTCTTGGGTGTGGCAGTCCTTGTGAGCATCCTGGCTGCCTGCCTCATGAATCGGCGCAGGGCTGCTCGCCGCCATCGAAAACGCCTGCGCCAGGGTAGGTCCCATTCACCTTCATCCCTAGGCTGCCCTCACCCCTCCACACTCTCATCGCTGGGGTCCTGAGTACTAGGCCACTTGAGGCTCAGCCCATCAGAAGGGTCTGCTCATCCATGAGCTGCTTCTACCAGGGGGAGTAATTGCTCCCTTTCGGGTGATCCAGGTATGCATTCTTATAGTCTGGCATCTGGCCTGCATAGCCCTTCCTTAGCTGAATGGGGTTGGGGTTGAGCACATAGTGTCTGGGGTTCTGGATGAGCTGTGCCTGGGTCACCGGCTGTTCTCATGCCCTTACAGATCCACCTCTGATCTTCTCCCCTCCTAGGAAATCAGCCCCACAGTAAGTCACTTCACTTCTTTGGCTTCCTGTGTCTCCTATTGTAAATAGCCTTTGGTTCCTATTTTGCACTTTGGGGAGGGATTGGAAGTGAGGGGGCGGTGAGGAAAAGGAGTGTGGAGGTCCCAGTTTGGGGGTCGGTCCTATGTTATTGTCTTCCTTCCACCCCTCCACCATGTTGGCCCTGTCCTTACTTGCTCTCCCTAGCCATGCTCTGTTGTGCAACAAACCTCGCAAGGCCAGACCCTGATCTTCTGTCCTTCCTCAGCTCTGCTCCTGGCTCAGGCAGCCCTGACAGTGTGACCAAGCTGAAGCTCCAGGGCTCCCCAGTCCCCAGCCTGCGCCAGAGTCTACTCTGGGGGGAGCCGGCACAGCCCCCCAGTCCCCATCCGGATCCTCCACCTGGCCGGGGACTCTTACCACTGGAGCCTATATGTCGGGGCCCAGATGGGCGCTTTGTGATGGGACCCACTGTTGGGCCCCCCCAAGAAAAGTTAGGCCTGGAGGGGGCAGAACCTCAGACCTCAGCCAAGCATCTGGCCCAGTCCTTTGACTGCAGTAGTAGCAGCCCCAGTGGGCCCCCCCAGCCTCTCTGCATTGCAGATATCAGCCCAGTGGGGCCTACTTCTGCAGCTCCACCCAGCCGCCTACCAGGTCAGGGACCCCTGCTCCAGTACCTGAGCCTGCCCTTCTTCCGGGAGATGAACGTGGATGGGGATTGGCCACCTCTTGAGGAACCCAGCCCTGCTCCACCCCCAGATTACATGGATACTCGACCCTGCCCCACCTCACCTTTCCTTCCACCACCTGACTCACCCCCTGCATCCCTTAGGGCAGGAATTTCTGGGGCTGTGATTGGAGCTGGGGCCTCCTCCGAGCCTCCTTACACAGCTTTGGCTGACTGGACACTGAGGGAGCGACTGTTGCCAGGTCTTCTCCCTGCTGCCCCTCGAGGCAGCCTCACCAGCCAGAGCAGTGGAAGGGGCAGTGCTTCCTTCCTGCGGCCCCCCTCCACAGCCCCCTCTGCAGGGGGAAGCTACCTCAGTCCAGCTCCAGGAGACACCAGCAGCTGGGCCAGTGGCCCTGAGAGGTGGCCCCGAAGGGAACATGTGGTAACAGTCAGCAAGAGGTGAGGGCAGTGCCTACCCATTCTTAACTCTGCCCCCCATCCTGCCCTGTCTTTCCAGATCCCCCCCCCCCCCCCCCCCCACAGCATCTTCCCTGCCCCACTCCCACGCTGGAATAGAGGAGGACTCTATCTCTTAGAAGTTTTGTTGAGGTCCGGGGATCTTCAGGGAAACCCATGACATACCCTGGTTTAGAGGACCTGGGCTCATACCTTTCTGGATACCCACTATTCCTCCACTCATACCATTCACCTGTCCCTAATAGAAGGAACACATCTGTGGATGAGAACTATGAATGGGACTCAGAATTCCCTGGAGACATGGAGCTGCTGGAGACGTGGCACCTGGGCTTGACTGGCTCTCGGCCCCGGCCTGAACTTGAGTCAGAGCTAGGTACGTGGATCTCTTGGCTGGCTGTACTGTTCTACATCCCACTTTGCCACAATAGGACCTGGTCTGTCTGCTTCCCAGTCAATTCCTGAGCATCAGGTCTGAGCCCTGCCTCTTCCTTGCAGGTGCAAAGACTCCAGAGGAGGGCTGCCTTCTGAGTACTGCCCATGCCCCTGGCCCTGAAGCCCGCTGTGCTGCCCTTCGGGAAGAATTCCTAGCCTTTCGCCGTCGCCGGGATGCCACCAGGGCCCGGCTACCAGCCTATCAACAGCCAGTCCCCCATCCTGAACAGGCTACTTTGCTGTGAACACTTGTAGTGTGAAGCTAAGAAAAGACATTTGGACCTGCAAAAGAGGACCTGAGACCTAGCTCCAAGCTTGGGCACTGCCCTGCCCCTTTGTGCCCAGGCACAGACCCTGATGGTGGCCTGATACTGTGCTTGCGTGAGCTTGGGATGGAATGTATGTGCTGACTCTTTAGTTGAGTCTGGGGATTGAACAGGGATCTTAGTGTGAGTGTATGTGAGAGTGTGTGTATATGTGTGTGTGTGTGTGTGTATGGTGTTTATGGTGTGGGTGCATTTTTTAACAGGCGAATAAAAGTCTGAAAAATGTTTCTCTGTGGTATCTAGCTTTGAATCTAAGAGAGTCAAGGAAGTCCCTGGATCTGTAAAGAGAAGATTGCACATTCAGCAATCATTCAAAAAGTATTTATCGAATGCCTTCTGGGGTCAGCTATTAGAAACTTGCTGTTAGGCTAGAAGACATGAGAAAATACAAAATTCACTGAGATAATGCCTTTGTCCTTGGGGAGTGCTTTCTGGCTAATGAGGCAGACAAATAGTAATACTATGCTAAATTCTGTGATAAAGCTGTTGATTATCGGGGTAGCACAAAGAGTTCAGTTCGAGCCTACATTTAGTGACTACTTGGAGAGTGTAGGAATCCTTGGGGGTCCTCACAGAAGACAATAATGATGACTACAGCATGCCCTGTGTGCCAAGTATGGCTCCAAGCTCTCTCCATGAGCAGAGCAGGTGAGATGGCAGGCAGTCAAGGAAGAGAAAGCAGACTGGCAGAGGAATATCTTTCCTAAAACCATTGAGGACTGAAACTTAATACTCCATAGGTCTGGACAGGACACTGGGGGACACAGAATGCCAAGGTCAGGGGGACTGGTTGTTGTCTTTGAATATCAGATTTAACAGGGGATTCCACCATAATGTGAAGAATTGTACTGATAGGTTCTGAGTGGGCACTCTGCTAACTGAAGTCTGAAAGGGTGGAAAGTACTCTGGGCACCCCTAAACTCTACTTCACTCCAGCCTAAGGGATAGAGAAATGCTTTACAGCCTCCTCCAGTAAGGCCTTCCCTTCTGATCCATTTAAGATTTAAGAAGAGACGACAGGGTATTGAAAGATGAAAGGGAGAAGCCTGGTTTGAATCCTAGGTCCCAACCCTGACCACACCCCTTGGGCCCTGGGCAAGGAGTGACCTCACTGTTAGTTTCTGCCTGGGCTTGAAGTTAAATGGCAAGCAAATCCCATGGGCTGCTGTCCCAGCCTGCAACCCCAGTCCCCACACCCTACTCAGTCATGGGGGGAGGCTCTTCCTGTGCCTCCATTTACCTTGCCAGTTTTTTAAAGCTGGAAGCTTCTTCCCAAATAAATAGGACTGCAGTCTTGAGCTAATCTGGGCAGGAAGTGTCCCACTGGGATAAACATCTATGACCATTGAGTGGAGGCCGAGGTTCTCAGGGCTGTAGACCGCTGCAGTGGCACGGGGGACTCCCTAGGTCTTTAACCCTCATTCCGAACCACTGACCATTTATCTTTTTTTTTTTTTTTGGTTTTTTTTGGACAGGGTCTCCCTGTAGCTCCAGCTGTCCTGGAACTCACTATGTAGACCAGGCAGGTCTTGAACTCACAGAGATCTGTCTGCCTCTGCCTACCAAGTGCTGGAACTACAGGTATGTGCTATCACACCGTGATTCTGGAATTTGTTTTGGGTCTTTTTGAGACGGTCTCCCTGTAGTCCCAGCTGTCCTGGAACTCACTATGTAGACCACAGTGAGTTGAACTCACAGAGATCCGCCTATCTTAAGCACTCCCGCCCTCCCTCGCTGCTGCGCTTTTAAATCCTCTCCGCCTTTGCCCCGCCTCTGGTCCGCCCCATCTGAGGCGGGACCCTCCGGAAAACTCCCGGCCCGCCCGGTCTAGCGCTCCACTAGCTGCTGCAGCCCCTACCTTGTGTGCAGCTTTCCAGCCCACTTGGACGGTGAGCGGTACTGAGGGACTCGGGAGGCAGGGGATGGGAGTTGGAGGGTGGGTGGTAATGTACATGGTCTGTAGAAAGCAGGAAGTCAGCATTGGGGAGTTGCTCCAAGAAGCTTGGGGATCCAATACTGGCGCCCTGCAGGGGTCGGAGCACTGCTGTGCCCCACCCAATGCTGTCAGGTCGGGTCCCCAAGCCCCGATGCTGCCTTGTTGGGCCTTGGGCCATGAAGTCAGGAGAGGTTTGCGGTGCATAGAAGGGGCATCCCTCTGGAGCCAGGGGGTCGGGGACCAAGCCCTACCCGTCCGCTCCATCGCTGCATTCTCGTTGGGGAGAAGGAAGGAGGGCTTCCGACTTTAGCAGACTGGCCCTGAGTTGAGGGGTAGAACCAGGCTGGGACGCGCGCCCCGGTGCAGCTCCGCGATCCCCGGACTTCCCGCGAGACCCTTCACTTCCTGGGACCAGAAGCACGTGTGGGCACTACCTGCCTTCTGTGTCCTCGAGGCCGCCCTTGCTTACCCTTCCTGCCAGCTCGCTTTTCTGGGTTCTCGGGGTCACAAGCTGGGGCCAGGAGTCTCAGCGCGTTACTTCCACGACGGCCTCGCCTTCTGCGAAGCCCCAGAGTTCTCCTGGAGCGTCCCTGACCTCCGGCATCTGGGCTGCAGCTCCGACTGTGCTCGGATGCGCCCTGTCTGGAGGGGTGGGCTGCTTTCCAAGTCCTCCTACTCTTGTCCGAGCCTCGCTGCCCCCTCCAGTGCCCCCTACTGCTGGGAAAGCCGATGGTGGCCGCGGGCGGGCGGGCGGGCTGCCCAGACCACTGCGTCACCCCAGTGGCTGGTGGGCGGTGGGTGACTCATCCACAGTAACGGCCTAGGGTGTGGCCCCGGGGTGGGAGCAGCGGCTTAGAGGGGCTCGGCCTACAGACCGGAAGTGGATTGCCGCCTTCCTCGGCTCCGCAGGTCTCCCAGAACCGGTATGCGGGAGGTTCTGGGGCACCTGCTATCCGTGGGGCCGAAATCAGCGGTGGTGGAATGTGGGGGTGAGGTGTAGGAGGAGACCTGTGGCAGGAGGGACTCCCCTTGTTTGCAACACAGAGCAGTAGTCAGGGACAGCTCCCCATCTCTATACCCTTCCTAGTCTCTCCTTCCCACCGCACTGGGGCAGACCTAGAACTGCAGAGGCCAAGGTAGGGCGGGGTGAGCAGGGTGCTAAGTTCCAGAACCAACAGTCTTTGTCCACTGCAACCCTGCTTCCACAGCCACGACTTCAAGCGCTCTCTCTGCTCCCAGGACACTGTCCCCTAACCGTTCTTCCTCGAGTGCCAGATGTGGGCTTTCTAGCTCTGAACACATCTTTTCCTTCCTAGGAGGCCTTTCTTCCGGACTCCTTGGTTAAATATGCTTCTCTGTCCCCAAACTGCAGACTTCTCTTTTCCAAATGCACTCCAGGCCCTCCAAAGCTGTCTCCTTGGGGCAATCCCTCCAAGCCTGGCTATTTCCCCCCAAACTGTTAGGATCCTTCATGCCCCTTTGCACAGAGCCTCCACCCTTGTCTGTGTGGAGTGGGTGTGTCTTCCCCATGCCCCCACCCTGCCTCCATTCCTGTGTTTGGTACACAGAAACTGTGGCAACCGGTCTCCACCTTCTCCTCTCCTCCTGAGCAAGCATTGTGGCTTCCTGTTCGTGTGGCTTTCTCTTCTGCTTAGGACTCTAGGTAGAGGGGCTGCCCCCTGGGGGAGGGGGTCTTCCCTCAGACATCCCCTTAACCATGGTGCTCCCACTGGCCTTCTGCCTGCTCCCTGTGGCATTTCTCTTTCAGAATTGTCCCAACCCACATCTGAGTTGGGAAGTTTCCTGAATTCCGTCTCCACAGTGAGAAAAGAGTCCCCTTGTCTTCCCAGTAAACACTCAGCTAAGAACCCCAAAGTCACTCCCCCACCCCTCACCATCTTGAGTTCATCTTGCCTTCCACCGTGGCTTTGAATAGGGTGAGGTAAGTCTCCAGCCACTGTCTGGGTGGGGCACAGGCCTCAGGGGCCTTTTGTGTCCCCTCCTCCTTTCCCAGCTATTGTAAACTGGGTGGGGTGAGGGTTGCTCCCAGTCCTGCCCTCAACTCAAGTGTTCAGGTTATTCACTGCCAGCCCACCCTCCAAGTTGTTCAACTTGAGATTCCCACGCCTGGGCATCTCTCACACTTGTCTTCCAGCTGGACAGATCTCTGTAGCCCACCCCAGAAAAAGACTTGGTATTTTCTCTTTCTCTGAGGGAGGGCAGGGGTGGGTCCCCTGGGTGTCACAAGGGTGGGCCTCTCCAGCTGCAGCAGCCACAGCCCATCAGCTGTTGCCTGCTTGAGGGGGTGGGGAGAGAGACAGCTGCTGACAAGGCAGGCCTGGCTGGGACAACCCCGTCCCAGAACTCTGACCCCTGCCCCTGTGGCTCTGGCACCTTGGGGTTCTATTGTCCGGGCTCCATAGTGGAACAGAGATAGTGCAGCTGGAGGCCAACAACTCTGCCAGCTATGTCCAGACCCCTAGAGCTGGGAGAGGGCCCCTTGGTATCCACTCTGTGTCTTGAGGTGGGTCTGGGGTATGGGGGCACTGGTAGGGTCTGGCTTTGGACTCTTTTCTCCCTCTTAACCCTGGTGTCCAGGTTAATCATTTTCTTGCCTTTCTTTACCTGTGCCCAGGGATCCCTGGGCTTCAGGCCCATCAGCTTTGAGGAAACAGCGGGAGCCCTAAGTCGTCATTCTCTAGGAGAGTGAAGCTACTCCTAGAAGAAAGGCCTAGAAATTGGGCCAGGGCCAGGGGCTTGCTGGTGGTAGCAGCCTTTAGGCCCCCTCCTCCTCCTATCCTGTTTTCTAGCCAATCGTTGGTCAGAGGTTACTAGAGGCTTGTGTAGATGAGTGGTAGCTGAGCTGCTGAGGCTGGCCTGGGGAGGTTGGGGAAGTTGGTCACCCTCCCTGTGCAGGCTTTGGCCATGCTACCCGCCTGCCTTCCTTCTCCCAGCTGATTGTGTGTGGCCTGTGATATGGGTCAGGACCCAGACCGACATTTATCTGGCCTGACTTTCTGGTTGGTGGAAGTCTCTCCTAATGAAGTTTAAAAATAACCTATTTATGGGGAGGATCTTGCCGGAAATGTGCAGCTCGATAACCCAGCATAGAAAGGAGCAGCCATGTTAAAGGGTGGGGGAGGGGACTGACCCCAACACACAACCTCAGGCTGAGAAGTGTGACGTTATTGGAGACAACCTGGCTTCTTATACTTTGGCTGAGCACCAAGGCCCATTGAGGGGGTGGTGGGAGTGTTTAACCTGGGTACATGGGAGAGGGAGCCAGAATGACTTCATCCCTTAAGTCTGACCTGGCCTGGAGCCAGATGTGGGCTCTCTTCCCTTTGAATGGAGGCGCCTGTCCTGGGGATCCCATTTTATGAGCAGTCAGACAGCCATCTCTATTTCAGACCAGAGAGAAGAGCTCCAAGAAGGGGCTGGGAGCAGTAAGTGAGGGACTCTGTCCCCCCTCTGTTCCTTTGCTCCCCTGGGTGCCAGCATCCCCAGGACTTGCCCCTCAGGTCCTTGGATGTGGACCTGGTGGTAAGGTGGTGGCTGGGGCAGGCTGCCTACACTGAGGTGCTGCCAACTTAGGCTTGTGGTCAGAAACCACCCAGTTCTTACAACCAGTGTCCTCAAGGAAAGTTAAACCCAGCTACATCATGTACTTTGCCAACCTTCTTCTTTCTTCCCAGGTTTCCCTGAAAGTACCACCCAAGGCTCTCTACTAGTTTCCTGTTTTTGCTGTAATAAACTACCATGAACTTAGTGACATACAAGCAACTTGCATAGTTTTAGAGACCCAATAGGGGTCTCACTGGCTGAGGTCCAGGTGCTGGGAGAACTGCATGCATTGGTGTGGCGAGCTAGGGAATAGATAATCCATTCCCTTGCCTTTTGGCTTCTAGGGGCCTCCTGCGTTGCTTGGTTCATGACCCTACAAGATTCCCACTCTTCTCCCATTCTGCACCCCCCTTCTTTCACCTACTAAGGACCTTGTGATTATATTGGGCCCACCTGGATCACCCAGGCTAATCTGCAAAATTTTTTTGTGTGTGTGTTTTCCATGTAAGGTAATATAGTCACCAGTTCTGGGAATTAGGTCATGAACACCTTTGGTGGGGGGAGAGGGGTAAGAGGGATTAGTCTGCCTCTCACAGTTCCTAGAAGGGAAAGGAGAATTGTTTTGATTGCTAGGTTTCTCACAGAAAATTCCCTTTGCCTGTTAAAATATGGGCCTGCCTTTTCCAGCAAGCCTCCACAGACTGCTTTTGCCCTTCTCCTTTTGATTCTTGTAATATAATCTGAACTGTGAAGTTAGGTATTCATTGTGTGCAGTTTATACCCACCCTATCACCATGCATTTGGTTTGCTCCTTTGATGGCACTATGGGTACTTTATAGACCTAAGATTTCATTCTCTTCTACAATCCCTAGTCCAAATAGAATAGCAGATACTCACTTAAATCTTAGTGGTTAGAGGAGGGTAGGTCTCCCACTCTCAGCATAGGTTTCTCATATTGCTCCATGTTCTTCCAAATCATTTTCTTTCCTAGGGCTGTAAAGAGCAGGGTTGTGGTTAGAATGGCAGATTTGCCTTTATAAAAGTTGGCCATACCAAATAAAGAGCTGAACCCTAATCATTTACCCTAAATCCTATTCCAGTGAGTCTTAGGCTTCATTCTAGACATAAAACCATTCGTTCAAATGAAATCTGGTGGGGATTAGACGGACTGCTTGTTATGAGTTTGGGAGAAGCCAGAGAATGTCTGTGTGGCCCTATACCTCCCAGAGTTCTGAGCCCTGCCATGCGAGCCTATGGCCAGGGGTCTGAGAGGAGAGGTCCCTCATTTGGCAGCAGTGCTAGTCCTTACTCTTGGGGCCCTCTCTAGGGGAAATGGTGTGTTCCCCAATCAGCACCCTGTAGGCTGCAGAGTGTTGACCATGGGCCTGCTTCTGCTTCCCTACAGCTCTCCACAGTCACCACAGTTGTTCAGAATGGCCAACAGGGGACCTTCATATGGCCTGAGCCGAGAGGTGCAGCAGAAGATTGAGAAACAATATGATGCAGACCTGGAGCAGATCCTGACCCAGTGGATTACCACCCAGTGCCGCAAGGATGTGGGCCGGCCTCAGCCTGGGCGTGATAACTTCCAGAACTGGCTTAAGGATGGCACGGTGAGAGCTGGACTGGAGGTTGTGGGGAGACTGGGAATTGTTTAACTCAAAGAAGAGAAAAATGAGGGCATGTAATCCTAACGTCTTTCTCAGCCTGAATATCATCCTAGAGGCTTAATGAAACCCTGTACTTTCTTCCCGCTTCATGGTGAAGTCAGGGTGGATGTGCCTCTTGAAATAGAAGGTCCTAGGTGATAGGAAGAATCGCTCTGTGGAAAGAGGATGAGGGGGTAAGCCTCCAGACAGAGGTCCTGGAGTAATAAAGAAAGACCAAACACTGGCTTTTCATCTGGACTCAGAGGCAGAGTACTGGCAGGAGGGACCTTAAGGCTTATGCCTTTTGTGGGGAGGACACCTCTCTGGTTTGCTTTCTCCGTAGTAGCCATGTCCTTACCTCCGCATGCCTGCTGTTCTCTCCCAGGTGCTGTGTGAACTCATTAATTCACTGTACCCTGAGGGGCAGGCCCCCGTAAAGAAGATCCAGGCCTCTCCCATGGCTTTCAAGCAAATGGAACAGATCTCTCAGTTCCTGCAGGCAGCTGAGCGCTATGGCATCAACACCACTGACATCTTCCAAACTGTGGATCTCTGGGAAGGTGGGCCAGGACTCAGGACTGTCATTCAGGAGAGCAGGGGTGGGTGGGGCAGGGCCATCTTCATCAACGAAAAAGGACAAGTTGTGGGCTTCCTGAATCAGATTGGTGTCTCTCTGTGTGTGTGTGTGTGTGTGTGTGTGTGTGTGTGTGTGTGTGTGTGTGTTTGATGAAAGAGTTGGCCATGTTGCTGAATGGGATGGAAACAAAGAGTAAGAAGAGTCCTAGAAGCCAGGCCTGCAGCCTAGTGACACAGGTGGAACCCTGGCATCCAGTGTCCTAGCCTGGCTCAGGCAATATTTGTGTCTTCTAGGAAAGAACATGGCCTGTGTGCAGCGGACACTAATGAACTTGGGTGGGCTGGCGGTAGCGAAGGACGATGGGCTCTTCTCTGGGGATCCCAACTGGTTTCCTAAGTAAGTATCTGTGGGACAGCCACAGGGCCCTGCTGGTACACTGTGCTTGCCCGCTTCTTACTGTCTCTAGGAAATTGATATCTTGTAGAACCCAGTCCTTTACAAGTACCTTCATATAATTCATCTCACTTAATCCTCAGAACTCTAGGGAGTTGGAGGGGCGGAAGTGACTGTCACTTTGGAGAGACAAAGAGGTGGCTCTAGGCAAACCTAAGGCTCTCAAAAGCAGAGTGGATGCCAGCTTATATTTTGTCCAGGGAAGAATTTACTAGGGCAGCCTCTCACCACCTACTGACCCGTGCTCTCTTTCTACCCAGGAAATCCAAGGAGAACCCTCGGAACTTCTCGGACAACCAGTTGCAAGAGGGCAAGAATGTGATTGGGTTACAGATGGGCACCAACCGTGGGGCATCTCAAGCAGGCATGACTGGGTACGGGATGCCACGTCAGATCCTCTGATTCCACTCTGCTCCTGCCCCTGCCCTCCCACGAATGGTTAATATATATGTGTATATATGTTTTAGCAATGACATTCCCTGAGAGCCTCTGGAGCTCCAAGCTCCCCTCTGCCAGGGTGGGGTCCAACCTATCTTGCTGCCCTTGGCAGTGCCTGATGGCTGCCTCTCCCTCTGTGCTTACTAATACATTCCTTCCCCACATCCATCAAAACTGGACCAACTTTTTCCTGGGACCAAAGCCTCCCCCCGCCCCCAGTATACCTCTCCTTTATGACCACTCTTGACTCTGGCCTCTGTGTCTCAGTCCACTTCTCGGCTAGGCATCAAGGATGCTGCCCTGTGGCCCAATGCTGCGCTGGTCTTTCTTCCACTAGTATGCCTCTCCTGCAGCTGTTGCTGCAGGGACTTAATTTATAGGAAGGGGCCTATGGCGGCTGCCACTCTGGCCGCAGCTGGACTGTTCTCACCACACATCTGGGCAGCTTTCCCTAGCAGAGGCCCTTTTAATTTCTCATTTTCCATTCCTCACTGTGGCTCAGGGGTGGGGCAGAGGGGATAGAGGCGGGAGGGCTACCCACCATGGTCTGGGGTTTGAGGAACATGAGTTTGCTGGTTTAAATAAAGAATCTCATTTTTTTTGGATGGAGTCTGTCTGTGTCTAGGGCCACTGTGCCTACTTTGGGGGAAGGGAGGAAAATCAGACAAGGAGAGAGGGCAGAGATGAAAGATTACAATGCTTAGCCCTGTCTTCAATTTCCCTCTCTCTCTCTCTCTCTCTCTCTCTCTCTCTCTCTCTCTCTCTCTCTCTCCCATTTGATTTAGGTAAGGACAGGTTGGGAATAAGAAGGGACAGGACCTCATATCTGTCCTTGGGATAGATCCTTAATGTAGATTGTGTGGGCAGTGTCTACATGATGGAAGAACTTCACTACTTTGTGAACTGGGTAGGTAGCCTATGGCTCCTGTCTGGGCTCACCCCTTCAGCCAGGACAGTTCAGCAGCTCCGGAGGGTAGAGAGTATACAGCCCTAACAAGTGCAGTCATCCAAACAGGAGAAACAGGAGGCCCTTCAGGCAACCAGGGGGGCAAGATGGCCCATGTTATAGTAGGCTACCCCAGCTCAAGGGCTGAAGGTGGCAGTCACAGTGGCTAAATGGAAGCAAAAGCTGGAAATGAGAATGAGTTGGTGGCTAGTGAGACACCTTGTTCACGGATCTCAAGCACCTGAGAATCTCATGCTGGGGAGAACCTACTAGCACATCTGTCCTCTAGACTGTGGTCTTGGACAAATTAATCAACTTTGGGTCAATATGTTCCTAGCCCAACCCAGGAGTGAATGTTTGCCACCTGTAGGTCTGTTGGTCTGTTGTTATTGCAAGGCTTCCTGTCCTGTCTCTGAGTCGTCCTGTGGTGAACTTGAGGGACTCTGGTCAGCCTTTTAACCCACCCCTGCCTACCCCCACCAGCCAGTCCCAGGCCCATAGCCTCCCATGTCCCTTTCCCCCTTTTTGCTTGGTGTTATCTGTCTCCTTGGGAGGAGAAAACCACAACATTATGTGCCTGGGAGTCACAGATTATGCAGCTGTTTATAACCAAAGAACTTTCATCCTACCTCCCTCCCCATGCCTCACTGTGGCTATCTCTTCCTAGTAACACCTACTATGTGCTAGGCCCCATGCTATGGTTTTATAACCATCAGCTTCATGGTTCTCAGCCTTATCCTGACACCACACCATGGGAGAGATGGCATTAGCTGGCTTGCTGCACTCCCAGGGGCTGTGGCACAGATAAGATAGGCGGTAGCCTATGTGTAAATTCCCAGGGGGTTAGCTGTCACTCCTTTATCTCTCCTTCAGGAAGGCTCTGTGGTCTGCCAATGAGACAGAGAGAGCGATATCATTGCAGAGAAAACATTGAATTCACTGATTCAAAAAAAAAAATCCTTTCCTGATTTAACTATTTAAGACTATAAACTATTGGCAACACAGTTTGCAATTTTCTGGGACAGGGAATGCCGTGGTACCAACACTGTCTCCTCTCAACAGATTCTTGCAGAAATCAGGGTGGCTATTACTGTATTATTATCCCTATCTTGTCCCCTGGGTCTCACAAAGGACAAGAAGTTTAGTCAAAGCTACCTAACAGTCACATGAAGAGCAGGGGTTTGAGCCCCAGTCAACCTGGTTGAAGTTCTAAATCAGCCTGTGCCATCCCAGGCTCAGTCACAACTGGGACTGTGGAGGGACTAGGGTAAGAAAGGTAGTGTGGTAAAAGGATGGTATTCCCCATTCGGTAAAGTAAAGAGAATAATTCCTTCCTTATGAGGCAGCCATGAAGATTGCATGAGACCCACATACTTGAACACTAGCACATCCTAAGGGCTCAATAAAGGAAACGTGAGGGATGAAGGGTGGACTTTGTGTGTGCTGTGGGCTTCAAGATTGCTGATTCCCCAAAGTGCTGCAACCCTTCACCACCGTACTGCTTAATGTGGTCAGGGAAGCTTCAGCTGACCCTGTCTCTCTCCCTAGAGCAACATTTCCAAGGCAAACACCAACTGGATTTGAGAAGGGCTTATTTCCCTTCTGGTTGTGGCTACTAGTGCCAAGCTTGGTGAGGAATCTCAGGATTTCCTCCTAATCCACCTCACTGGATATTCAACTCCTTCCTTTGGAACTGGCATCTCAAATTTTTGTATCATTTTCTGTTTGTTTGTTCTGAGGTCACAATTTCAGACTTCATTTGGCCCTTCTAACTTTTACAGGCACACTTTCAGTCTCTGGAACCCAAAGTGGGTCCCAACCCTGATGCCAGGAGACACAGTTCCTTTATACCATGTTGTCCCCTTTTCTTGCCATGTCCTAGTACCTGTTCTCTGTGGCTCTCTACACAGGTGTGATAACATTGCACTTGCAGGGCGATTCCCGTTATCTAAAACAATCTTCCAGGTCTCTCCTAGACTTGTTCTTTTATCCCTTCAAGGCTTTGTTCACATGTCTCCTTTCCTGGCCACCGCATTTAAAATCTCACAGCCCCTTACCCTGCACCTCCCTCCTGCCTTGCTGTCATTTATGGCTATCTAAGCCTATGTTTTACTTACTCATTTTCGGTCTCCACCCATAGAATCTACATTGCACAGAGGCAGGTTTTTGTTGGTTTTGTTCATGTAGAGTTGGCACGCTGTAAGTGCTGGATAAATATTTGTTGAATGAATGAATGTCTCACCACCCTCCTGTTCTTGAATCCTCTGCCATGGTAGCATAGTGCACAGCCAGCCCAGGGTCACAGCAACTTGGCTTGTCAGCAGATCTGAGATGGAACCAAGCCAATTCGCCAGCTTCCATGCTTCCCCAGTGCTCATTTTCAAAGGGCAAAAACCCAGGATATCCCACCCCCTATAGCCTGAGGGTGGAAGTTTTGAAGTGGATGGAAGGTAGAGAGTCCGCTCTGGGCAAAAGGAAGGCACATTGAGGCTTTGAAGGGGGAAAAAGAATGAGAGAAGCACAGGAGGAAGAGGTCAGAGTCAAGTTTGCTGCATTTACTTTGCCTTCAGCCGTGAAGCGGAAAATCACTGTGGAGGTAGAGACAAAGTAGGCTGGGCCCATGGTGGCCAACGGAAGGGAGAGTTAGTTAAGGACTTCAGGGAGGAGGGAAGGAAGAGGAGGAGGAGACTTCAGATGCTCCGCCCAGTTTGGCTCACCTGTGGGTAAAAGCAGAGGTCCATGCAGCCCGCTCTTATCCTGTAAGTGTTCCTCTGGGTGTGTGAGGACTGACTAGGCTAACGCTCGGGGGCCCAGGTGGGAGAGATGAATCTGTGACTGTATGAGGAAATTGCCTGTGAGTGTGTGTCTGCCCAGGACTGAGGATAATGAGTGGGCAGAGGTGTTGGTCCTGTGTGTGGGCATCTGTGTGTTTGTACATGACTCTGTTGAGAACAATATGTCCCATTCCTGCCTCTACAACTGAAGGAGGCTTTAAGAACTTGGCAAAAGGCCCAAGGGGCAGTAGAACAGGGAAAGGGCTGGGCAATAGGACCCCAGGGAAGGAAGCAATAAAGGGCCTGGGATTAAATTTGTTGAAGAAAAGACTGAAAGAGTGAATTAGTAACTGTCTCCTTGCAAAGAAATGGGTTTTAGTCCCAGTGGCCAGGGAGGTAGATTAGAAGGTAGATTAGAGGTTGCATCTAGAAAATTTTAGGTTAGACAAGGAAAAATAGTCCTCTTGACTCTGAAGGTTATTAGTCCCTGGAATGGCTAAATGGTTAGAAGGAATCTCTTCAACAAATAGGACAAATCTCATTTCCTAATGGAGGAAAATGAGCAGGAAACTCCTCTTTCATTTGTGTATTTCCCACAATTATTGAGGTTGTACTCGATATCAGATCTTATGGGGCAGGGGTTACTGATACATGATCTCTTTGCTCAAAGACTAAGTGGTCCTGAAGAGAGCTAAAACATGAACGGGAGCTGTGATGACTCCAGAAGCCAGAGATGCATGCCTTTGTGAAATAAATGCAGGGATCTGGGCAGGACCTCTTGCCAACCTCTGTAGTACCCTGAATGAATTTGTGAATGCCACGGGGAGTAGAGGCCACCCATCTCAGGAATTATTCCCCCTCATCTGCCCAGGGGAGTACTGGTGCCTGCTAGGAAGGCTTCTCTAGAATAAGGAACAGTAACTGACTCTGTGGTCCGAGGTCAAGATTCTGTACAAAGAGAGGGGCTGTTATTATTCCTTTACTGTCTGGGATGGGCATGGGTGAGAAGCAGGGATCAGCAGGTGCAGAGAGATCAACATCGTCAGAGCTTGTAGAAGGTTGGGAGGGGTTACACAAACACCCCCTCAGGGACTGGGGCTGTCATTCCACTTCACCCCACTGTTGGCAGGATCTGATTTTTGAGTTGGTTTTCTAGTAGAGAAACATGGCTCAATGTGGGACCGAAGTATGGTGAAGAAGAAGATGATGATGATAGTCACTGCTATTTTTTTGCTACTCACTATGCTAGGAACTTTACTCATATTTTTGGATTTGTTCTTTCATTATTTCAAAAAGTATTTCTTGAGCATCTTTTCAGGGTGAGGTAGCGTTGGGTTCTGGGTTATCTGGTATTTAATAAAATAAACAATCTCTGCCTTCCTGGGAGGAGTAAGAAAAGTGAGGAGCCAATTATAATATATGACATGTGGCATGATGGGA